GAGCATGTTTGGTGTGACGGGGATTCGAACCCACGACCCTCAGATTGCGAGTCGAGTGCCGTAACCACCTGCCCATGCCGGGCCGACCAAATGAAGTTAGTGTAAGGATTTTAATATTAAGTATACTAAAGTATATCGAGAATTTTTAAAGGTAAAAATAGGAGAACAAAAATGTGTAGTAAACAGATTATTCCATTAACTAATAAAATAACACAATATTTTATATTGAAAAATGATGGTGCATAGAGGATTTTTAGAAGGGCGGCAAATCATTAGGCTAAGTCCATATTTAGTAAATACGACTCTGACTGACACCATCTTGTGTAGGTATAATAGATCTTTACCAACTATTAAAGACATGCCAATAGATGGTGCAATACACATAAGGGACGCTTAACGTTGCAATTTGTATTGTCGTGACGTCAGTAAAACGTGCGCATGACATGAATCACGAGAAGAATTATGCACTCTGTAGGCTACAACAGAGCATAAAATATTAAATTAAAAAGCAAGAAATAAAAATATTTGTTACTCTTAATTTTGGTTTTATTTACTTTCGGGGATCCTGCGGAAGTACATTTAGTTTGATATTGACAAACTCTAGTGATTAATAACATATTTATTAAAAGTATAATTAAAAGTAAAGGAGAAATGCACTTTTATAAGCGGTTGTTAGAGAAAAACGAAGGTAACAACTTATACAACTAATTATTTTCTTAAACTGAAATAATAGCGAACGAAATTCTACTCTCTGTCATGTGACAGGTTACTTTATATATATTTGTATATTTTTTCCGAAACATTAACATTTCATTTTCGTTCAAACATTAATTAACAAATAGCCTCTAGTAGTCGTTAAATTCAATCTTCATTGTCGTCTGTTTTCTGAACATTATTAAAAAAAACAACAGATTATCAGGGATACAAAGACTAACGTCAAAATGAGAATAATAAATGCACAAAGAAAAATAGTATTTAATTTCTACCTTCAAAAATAATTAGAAAGAGATGAAGAAAAATTATATAGAAGAAACGAATTAAAAATACAGTTAACGCGAAGTTGTATACAAGTTAAAGCATGACTGCACTGTTATACTTGTATTAGTTAGAGAGAAATTTTTATAATAAATGAAAAATATAATGAGCTAGATACAGATGTAGTAATTATTAGGTAGTTTCTACAAATATTAGTACTCACAGCAATATTAACTTGAACGTCAGCCAATGGCAATGAAAAGTCGATTCCAATGCTACTTTTTCTATTTACTCTTGCTGTACTATTTCATCTCCACATTTCTTCAACAAATGGAACCAAAGTCGTGCGTGTGACATGAAAAATAAACGAAAAGAGGCAGCAGAAAAAGTTGAGCAGATCAAACGAGAAAGGCTTACGGCAGTATAGTCTGTCAGTTATATAGGTAACTTGATGAAATCGAAACTCGCACTGGAAAACCTGAAACTATGTATCTAGAACTATGTATTCCTGTGTATTTAACAAAGTACAAAATTGTAGACAAAAAGGTCTTTCAAATTATTCTTCTGTATATCTAAATCGACAATGAACAATTTTTAGCCGCGGCATAGCGGCTCATAGAGTTGTTTTTTTCAAGTACAAACTTTTAGCTCATAGCTCCGTCATCTCTTGACCGATTTGAGATCTAATTACAGTTTTGGACTTAGTAGGTGAAACCCTTTCGATTGATTATTTGACCACGCTCAAGGTCTCATAGATTAATTTACTCAAATCCTGCCTAAAAGAATTTCTTTTTGAGGGTAGGCATGTAGAGATCCTGATGAGTATTAAAATCGAATCGGGTATACGCGCGACTCACGCTTGGTGTCGCTGGCGCAAAAAAATATAGCTTATAAAAAAGAAAAAAAGGTATAATATATTAATTTACTCTAATCCTGCCTAAAGTAATTTCAATTGCCGCGTCTGTTGAGGATTTCCTCTCGTTTTTTCATAAATGCTGTATGATTTAAGAATATAACTATAAATCAAATCATATTTGTTACAAAACGTTTTCAAAGTTTCATCTCATTACACTGAATTA